TGTGCATTTATTCACTAAGTCTCACTCCCAAGCGCCGCCTTTTCTCTTCCGTGATCCCTGGCTGCTTCCTGGAAACTTGACATTCACACCGACAACCTCCCACCCCAACTTCGCACCTCCCAGATCCTTCCCCTCCTCTCTCCTGTGCCACCCTCGCTTCCTACCACGTGGCCATGTTCTATCCAGTCATTACCAAAACCACGCCAGCTCTAAAATCTTGATCTCCAGCATCCCATTTTCTGACCACAGCCACTTGTCTTTTGGGCTCACCTGTCCTTGTTTTCCCGTCTGCTGAGACCTCTGATCCACTGATTCATCAGCTTTCCATGTCTGTCCTGCTCTCTCCTAACATGCTCACTTTCCTCCTCCCTCTCTTCCCCATTACACTCGCCAGCAAAATCCCAAATGAAGTTAACACCACCTCTCCACCTACTCCACCCCTGCATCTAAGCATCTGAATGTAGCTGCAGAGAAAACATGGCCATGTTAATGGGTTTTGCTTTAACACTAGGCCATAAAGCCCCTGTGGCCCTCCAGCATGCCTTGGGATCACACTACACTCCCCCGGCCACATCACCCTCCCTCTCGAGGTGATCTTGCTTCTTATTCCCCTAGGAAATCAGACTCTCACAGGAGAAAATGTCATCATCCACTTAGCACCAAATGCATTTGTATCCTGTGGTCCCATAATCTGTCTTCCCGTCCTTGTACCTTTACAATGGACCACAATAAAAAGACAATGAGCTGACGTTTACTGAGTGCTTGCTGGTCCAAGCACAATCTTAAGTGTTTTACATACATCAGCTCCCTTAATTCTCATCACAACCTCATATGATCGGCACAGTTACCATTTATATTTCATAGATGTGGAAACGGAGGCATGAAGAGGTTAAAAATGAATATCTTGTGCTTTCTATTTTTTATTTTTTAAAGATGTGGGGTACTATTTAGGGTCAGGTATACAAATGTTCATTATGCAGTTACCCTTGTTGATGAGGTGTGTCCCTCCCTCCCCTGGCAGCTCCCCTCAACTGCCAA